TTAAACTTTGGGTTTTATCTGTTACTATAATTAAAGCAAGCTATATTTTGTTGTTGTTAGTGAGAATATACAAATGCACACAGCAAAACATACAACAATTCAGCGTTTTCTTCATGTACAATTCAGTGACATTGATTACATCTTTAGGGCAAGGATTCATCCACCTTCCATGGCTCCAGAAAATGTGGAATCCATGAGAATTTGACATTGTGTTCTGCATTTCCTCCCCTTTTATCAGCTTTCTTCTATAGAATATTTGATCAAAATGTTCAGTTATGCTAAAAGCAATATATTTCAGAAACAATTAAATGTGCATTTAGTATCATAAAACTATGTCATTAGCACAAGGAGGATCCTTCTTTTCTTGGACTGAACTCATTCAGTGGTAGTGGCTGAGTCAGTAGGTGCAATTCCAAGAGAAGAAGCCATAATTACACGTTATCACAATTGTATAAACTCTATGCTGAAGCTAAAGAAAATTTAAAACAAGTGAACAAGACGCAAAATATGACTTTGAGTATATCTTATCTGAATTTAGAGACCATCTCAAGAATAGATTTGATGCATTGAACACTAATGACCAAAGACCATATAAATTGTGGAATGACATCCAGGACATTATACATGAAGAAAGCAAAAGGTCATTTAAAAGACAGGACAGAAAGAAAAGACCACAATGGATGTCACAGAGACTTTGAAACTTGTTCTAGAACACAGAGAAGCTAAAGCAAAAGGCAGAAATGATGAAGTAAAAGTGCTGAACAGAAGATTTCAAAGGGTGGCTTGAAGAGAAAAAGTGAAGTGTTATAATGAAATATACAAAAACCTAGAGTTAGAAAACCAAAAGGAAAGAACATGCTCAGCATTACTCAAACTGAGAAACTGCAGAGAGAAAAAAAAATTAAGCTTCAAGCTGCAATATTGAAAGATTCTTTGGGTAAAATATTGAATGAAGCACTTCAGGAAGCATCAAAAAAAAAAAAAAAGGTTGAAGGAATATACAGAGTCACTGTACCAAAAAGAATTGATTGACATTCAACCTTTTAAGGACATTTAAGGATGTGATCCAGTATCAGTGGTATTGAAGGAAGAAGTTCAAGCTTCACTGAAGACATCAGTGGAATGAGCATTATCATTGTTAATAGCTTATGGGTCTTGACTGAAAGAAGAGAGTACCAGAGAGATGTTTACTTGTGCTTTATCGACTATGAAAAGGCATTTGGCTGTGTGGTTCATAACAAACTAAGGATAGCATTTCAAAGAATAGGAATTCCACAACCCGTACTCGTGCTCATGAGGAACCTGTACATAGACCAAGAGGTAGTCATTCAAACAGAACAAACAGATACTGTATAGTTTAAAAATCAGTAAAGCTTTCAGGGATGTATCCTTTCACCAAACTTGTTCAATATGTATGATGAGCAAATAATCAGAGAAGCTGGACTATATGATGAAATATGTGGCATCAAGATTGGAGGAAGACTCATGAACGATTTGCAATATGCTTGCTGAAAGTGAAGAGGACTTGAAGCACTTACTGACGAGGACCAATAACTACAGTCTTCAGTATGATTGCACATCAATGTAATGCAAACAAAAATCCCCACAAATGTGCCAATAAGCA